CCATCAAAATAACAGGGCAGTTTGTCACCACGTAGAGTATCCATGTACCAAAGCTTCTGTCAGACAATTTTAAACATCCCCTAGTGACAAGTAGGTCATTTCTTGAGCACAGGGAGAGAGTACAGGAGCTTTCCTCCCAACAGTAGGTACCTTCTCCCAGCAAGAAGAAACAGCCCATGTCAGAAGAATGATGCCTGAGCCTTTCCAAAATGTGAGGTGATGAAATAGGGTTAGATGCCAGAAATGGCACCTTTGCCCTCTGTTGCCAGTTGAACATACTGACAAGCCCAAATTCACAGGGGCTGTCTGGAAGCCCAGTAAAGCCCAGTGTTTTTTTTTAAGCAGACAAAAGACAAATGTCCAAATCATAATCCTCAACTCATTTCTATCCTTATAAAACTCCAGAACAGGTTATATTTTGTACTACCACAGGAGAGTGTAAATCAAAAGCCAGAGGAAAACAAGAGGCAGTCCAAGCCAGCAAGGTACGGTTTCATAGCTAGCGTTAAACGGGTGCATGTATGGTGCTCCAGCTCCAGCCACTGCCTCTCTCATACCTGCACCAGCATCCCTGCGGCAAACGTGTCAGGAAGAATCCTAAGGAAACATACAATTGGTTTTTTGTAGAGTTTAGCTTTCAGGCCCAGAAACAAAACATTTGGCCATGCATGAGGCATGGAAAGCAAGAGCACAGGCTGAGATCACAGTAAAACCCACATGAAAACTGTTTCCTCAGGTTGTCTTTACAATCATGTGTTGCAGGGGGAAAAAACAGAAATCATCACTTGGTGAAAGTGAAGCTGTAGCTTTGCGGGCAGCTGAGTCAAGCTAATGCTCTGCTCCTAAAAGGAAGAGGACCCCCTCTTCCCTCCTGCTTACACAGCTCTTCTTCCTTCTGCTTCAGCCTACACGATCCCACTGCCTCCCTTGTGAGGGCTCTGCCAGGCACTGAACCTCTTCGTAAGCCAATTTTATTCACCATCACAGTAGACAACTATCCAGCTTGCTGTGTCTGTTCCTTGCTGCCTGACTCGGTTGAGCAGACAGAGGTGCCAAATGATGAGCAGATTAGCCTGAAGCAAACGGTGGGAGCATATAGGAGGTTGGGGGAACAGGGACATTTTTCCATCAGGGCAGCCGAGCCCTTTGACAAGCTTATTTCTTAGGAAACACACCTTCGCTGTGCTGCTATCTGGCTGGCCTGTCCAGCTAAACTGAAACTCTTTTGACAAAGATCCCAATCCTCTTTTAATTGAAACAGGCTGCTCTGTAAGCTAAAAAAAAAAGATCCAGCAATGTCCCACGCCTGTCAGAAGAGACCATTCTTCCTTAAGGGTGGCTACAGCAACCAATTAAAGAGAATTAGCTAATTTAACAGCAGTTTCAAAAATTACATTGCCAACTAGTGGAAGGCATTCCTCAGTCAAACCAGTCATTGACTCTTCCTGGTTCCAGATTATTCAACTTAACAGTAATATTAGTCCCAAGGGGAAACTGCTTGTTTAAAGAACCAGCAAACCCTTATTTTATTATATAGCAGTAAACTGAAAAATCCACACTGAAAAGTAAAAAAAAAGGCTGAGCAAAATATTCTCTCATTTCAGTGTTTAATTGACAAGTGCAAACATAAGGCTCTCATTCTGCAAGATGTGTGCATCATTCCATTAAAATCAAGTCACATGTGTGGGCAACAAGCAGTAAAAAGGCAGTGCTGAGTGCAAACATTGTGCTTTGAGTTTGAAACCAGTGGGGGAAAAAAAAAAAATAGACTTAACAGATAAAACACCAAACTGGAATTCCATATACCTCCATGGTGCTGCAGGCCCTGCCCCTGCCTAACAGATATCCTTGCAAATATTTCTTTATGCATGGCTTTCCCTGTCTACACAGAGGGTAATGGAACAGACACCCCCATTCCTCCTTTTGGCCAGTCCTCAGCACTGAAAGCTTTGCACAAGAGCTCTGCTATTAGTATGCACATATGGCATTTCACCAGGTGAGTTATTTTGCTAAACGTTTGTAGACTTACCTGAATTTTTGCTTGACTAGTGCTAGTTTCTCTTCTCATGAGAGTGGGAGACATGTTTTCATATCCTCTTTTCTTCATTTTTAGGTGGGAGAAGGTAAAACTGCCATAAGGATCTTCAAGAATCAGAATAATTTGGGTAGGTCCTAAGGCATCTAGGACACGAGGAGTGTTAGAATTCACATGGTTCCTATGCTATGGTATGATGATGTAAACTATTCGCCCTGTAGAAATGCCATACACTTACATCCTCAAAATGGACCTCATGTGGGTCAGGTTGGGGTACAAAAGCCTCAGACACTGTGGTAGCTACAATGGTTTCCCAAAGAAACGGATTTTCTGTGTTAAAGGCCGAGTCATCTAAAGTCAATCATTTCAAGGTAATACATCAAGGCTGATGAGCTATCAATGAATTACATGCATATTTCATTTTTAACTTTCTGCCAGCTTATAAACCACTCCCTTTGGATTTTTACCAGGAGGAAATAAATCAGAAAAATATTCATTATTCCAGAGCAGACAGGTATTGGAACTTCTCCCATAGCAAGTTTCAAGGAATGTAGTAGTCTCCTCAACACCTGACAATCTTTTTTCAGTGTTGAAATGCCTAGCTTTTGGCAAGCTTAGCTCTCATTACCCTTATGCACAGAGACAAGAATTTCAGCCTGATCTTAGCTCAGAGCTTTTCTGTTCTGTTTCTCCTTTTCCTTTTTTCACCTTGATTTTTGTTTTAGTTAATAATAAAGCCAGTTCTCAAAAATGCAAGAATGTGGCAGCAGACCAAAATGGGATAAATCTTCAAGCCATCAAGGAAATGCTGACTGACGTTTTAAATGTCTGCTGCTTCAAAATGCCCCACATAAAACAGGAAATATGACTCTGGCTCTACTACTACAAGAAAACCACTTTGGCTTCCTGTTAACAGAAAGACACATCTCATATAAATGAAGTAAGCCCAGGCCCACATTGCAATTGGTCACTTCTGCACCACCAAAAAAGCAAAACAAAAAAGTCCAAACCCCAAACTTCAACCACAGTATATGAAGTTCCTCATACAGAAGTATGCTTATATGGACTCCCTTGCTACTTTAAGAGTTAAAAAATACAAGTTTTTATATTAAATCTGTAATAGACACGTAAGCTTACAGGCTCACACAACAGATGCAGCATGGCCATAATTTTTCCTAGTTAGAAGTAATTTTAAATTCTGAAATTCTACATAGTTTTAAATCAAATACCACCTCTTTTCTTCCCCTTCCTCCTTGGCTGTCCCAAAGGAGCCTTTTCTCTCAATGTGAAGGTTTCCTCCAAAAAAAAAGAGGTGGGGGGGGGGGGGGTGTAGCACATTATTTATTCCCGTTTAATCCTGTTGCAGGTGAAACCCAGTTTTGAGTAAATCATCAGAACTAGATGCAGAAACAATTCACAGTCTCCACATAAAACCTCTCTCATCTTAGGAAAGGAAATGTGATCCCACCTCATTCTAGCAGCTTGTGACATCTATACCACCAAAGCAGAGAGATTTGGTTTCCAGAAAAGCCACCAGAGACAGACTACAGAAACAGCTGAAATTAGATATTGTCATTAGTTACTCCAAAATCTGCATAACTGGACTTACTGCACCAATACCAAAAGGCTTACTGATGAAGGAATAATTGTCCATGCACACACAGTTTTTCCTGAAAAAGTACATAAAACAAGTCCCATGAGGCAGATGGTTAAAGACTTTTGGAGATTCACCAGGGATGCGCAGTTTCCCTACGCTATGAGTCAATAGTGCAGGCCTTCCAAATTCCGACCAACAGATACCATTTACCCCAAGTATCACTGAGCAGAGAGTTGTCCAGGTTTCTCCTGCCGAGGTGGCTCCCCACTGCATCCCACTAGTTGTAGCTGTCAGCTTGTGCACACTTCTTCCTCCGACTGTGGCTTCCACATTGCTGCACAGCCCCTTGTGATGAACCCAGCACCAGGTGAAAACTGTCACATTAATTAGCAATGCTGGAAAATGAAACCTAGTTTACTCCAATTTTTCACTTCACATTTCCCATACTTTCCATTTGTTTCGGGTCTAAATAGGAGCTGAAGAGAATGGAGATAGACTCCCAGCACTGCACTTGCATAAAACCCATACATTTGTTTTCTTGAACGCACAGAAATTTGTTAAAATAATAATTGCATTAAAATAACCCCATTCAAGAATTTTATGTTCTTTTCTAAGAGGGTGATACAGCCCATCCTCAGCAGGTTTCCAAAACCTCAATAGTTCAACAATAAGTATCTACTGACCATCTGAAAGAGTAGTTTAAAAGCTATGTTAGGCTACCTAATCTGTCAAAACCAATAGTAGAGTTTAGGCAGTCCAAGGACAGTTCTCTTTCTCTATATTTGGGGAACCTGTTTTGTATATGCTTATACAAGCACAGTGTGAAAAGAGCCAACACAGCATGTGCAGGCCACATAGTGCTTTCCTTTGTGTAGTGCAAATCTACTTCAGCAAACGGAGTTGACTAGGACTTTGCTCAGAACTGCAAGGCACTGACTCATCTGGCCCAGTTCAACAGGCCACTTTAGCATATGCTTGTTTTTAAGATCCAAGTGAAGATGCTTTTGAAGAAAAATGGTGTTTACATGCTGTGTTTCATGAGAAACTCTTACTTGCGAGAGAAAATGTGCATGCAATTTGACCTCCATTTTTTATCAATTATTTAGTGCCAGGTAGTTAAAATTGAGATGGACCAAGCAAATTAATCCCGACACTCCTAATTTTCAGTGTGCTCTCAGCGGTTAATTGACATCATGTCAAATTCAGGGCCTATCCCTCTCCCATGTACCCATCTGCTTTGAAGAATTTCAGTTAGGAGCCGGACACTCACAGATGTTCATTGTTCGAGGGTCTTCTGGGAATGGTGAAAAGTTAAAAAAAAAAAACCAAAAAAGACTTAAATGGGCTCAATTTTTAAGACACAATTACTCTAAACCAAGTTGCACCAGCTATTGATCTTTCTTAATTTCTAGCAACTTCTACTTAGAATTAGTACTGCTCATATGATGATTTTCCTGTTTTATGGCTTACCGTCTGCTCCTCAGTTCTCACACTCAACGCAGCCTTAACTGCCATTTTTGGATACATTGGGACATAATTTCATGTCTCTATTTTAAAAGGAAAGCTGCCGAGTGTTAAAAATGCAAAATCAACAGTCAGACTTATCACTACATAGGTGGAAAAGATTTCACGTGTTCCTACTAACACTATTAACTTTTGTTCTCTCAGTCAAGCTATGATAAAACATATAATGTATAAAGACAGGTGAATATGGCTGCATCTGTATAGTGTAATTTGCTTTAAAAGATAAAACTGTGTTGAAAAATAATGACAAAGAATATCTTTACACAATAGCCAACAGAAGTGCAGATTGCCACAGTTCCTGTAGTGGCATTAATTTGAGAACAATGGGCTAGTTCTTGCTTTTCAAAATTCAGCACTCTGCAAAGTGCCTCGTATTTGTACACATGCAGAAGATGGGAAGGCAAAAACTCCAAACCTTGTACTGAGCACAATGAAGCCAAAAAGTCATGATCCTGCAGCAAAAACTCTTAACATAATTATTTTTGTTTGCCCAAAGGGAAATCCTGAAACTTCCCAGAAAACTTATTTTCCTGCCCTAAGTTGTACAGATTTTCTTCATCTAAAACTCAAAGCTAGAAAGACAGAATAAAAAGTTATAGCAGATGTCCCAGGATAGTCTCTGTTGTAGAGCCACTGTGATTCATAATGGAACAAATAACAAAGAGGCATTTCAAGTCAACCTGTAAGCACTCTCATCTAGGTGGGTCCGGACCATGTGTGCCTGTCTACATTAGGAAATTCAGCATATATAAATATATAAATAAAACATATACACAGTACATAGTCACATTCATATAAGCCATAAAATGACATATATTTACAAAAATATTTGCAGCTATGTTTTACACTTTCAGGTCCACATCAGGAATTTCATTATTTAGCTTCTGCCTTGTGAACTTGATCATCTTCCTACGTAGGAATCTGGGATGAACTTGTACCTTATATATTTACAATTGTCAAAAATAAGAAAGAAGAAAATAATCTTCCAAGGAATTCTGCCAAGTCCGTAAGAAAAGTTGAAACTTGTTGAAGCATTAGCTGCCTCACAGAAGAGTAAATTACGTGTTAGCAAACACTGAGACCTTCTCTTCTTCATGTAGAAAGACAGTACCTTGGTCTGGCCCATAAATAAATTTGAAACTCATAAAACGTCAGGCAGAGCACAAACAGGGTGCCTGACAGCTGTCTGTAGTATAAACGCATGCATAATTACTATTCTAGTTGACTCAGTCTAAACTGGTAGAGTGATGAAAGTGAATGAAGGTAGAGATGAAAATGCATACATTAGGTTACCTTACAGGGTAAAAAGGTAGAGAGTAGACTACATCCTGTTGGCATTGTTTTAGCTTCCTTTAACAGTAAGTTACATGGTTAAAACAACCCCAAAGATCCCACATTTATACAGTACATATACAGTTCTGTGACTTCCAGGAGTTGGACATGTTTAATTTACTTCTCCAAAGATGGAAAAACATTTCTTTGCTGCTTCACAAAATACTCTTCTTAGGTATGCAGCCCAGGTTCAGGCATGCTTTTTTAATTTGAGGGGTTTGCCTTTTTGACATGAGTTTTGCAAGAGGAATTAAAGCTTTGGAGAAGGGGTTGTTTTCCTTTCGCAGAACACTTGGAAAAAACAAACCTCAAAATGCAGCAGTTTAAAGTGCCTGTACGTGAAGACCCATGGAGAAAAATCTTGCTATGAACCATTGAACCATGGCCTCAGATAGCACTTTCAGCAATAGGCTGTGGAGTCATCTCTTGCTCCTCACTATTCTCTGTGGACATGTCCTGGACCTCCTGCTGCTGATAAATATCTTGAACCAGCATGATGTTTGTGTTCCTCCATTCTCTGTACTTCATTGCCGTCAACTTTGGGTCATCTAGCAACTGGTTAATTGTGGCCAGGTCATGTTCCTTACACTAGGAAGAGAACAAGTGGTTATTTCCCATAGAAACTGTCAAGTTAATTGTCCGTAACAAAAACACTCTCTATGTCACAAGGAGATGGCGAATTATCCATCCTCCTGCCAACTTGTTCCCATTTTTAGAATGTAGATCATCAAAATTAAGTCCACAGCAGAAATTCATCCCAGTTGAAGGCAAAATTATGATTTCATGTAGATTTTTTATTTTATAGGATTCATAGCAAAACTTCATGAGAGAAGATTCATGCGAAAATTAGACATTGTTATGCTGTCTCACAACAAGTTAGTACTTGCATTAAACTAGACACAACAGCATTTATCTCTGTAATTCACACCAGTTCCAACTTTCATCAAAAAATACTTATTCTGTGCTCATGTTATAAATGTCTCTTCTCTGGGAGCTAGACAGAAAATAATTTTGGATATAATCTGTGCACTAGCAGTAGACTTGCTAGAGCACACGTGGCTGCTAATACATCTACCGCCAGCTACTAGCTACTACTACTAAATCTGATCTCTACTTTTAGACAAAAGCAGCTCAGATCGTATATTGCAGGCAACCTGGTTCAATGGTAAGATGTGAACAGTCACTGATATAGGGACACTGAGACCCTTTATGTCACAGAATCACATTATGGTTGAGGTTGGAAGGGACCTCTGGACATCATCCAGTCCAATCCCCTTTCACAAGCAGAGCCACCTAGAGCAGGCTGCCTAGGACCATGTCCAGATGGGTTTTGAATACCTCCAAGGATGGACACTCCACAGCCTCTCTGGGCAACTCGTGCCAGTGCTTGGTCACCCTAAGAGTAAAAAAGTGTTTCCTGAAGTTCAGAGGGAACCTCCTGTGTTTCAGTTTGTGCCCATTGCCTCTGGTCCTGACACCAGGCACCACTGAAAAGAGCATGGCTCGGTCTTCTTTACACCCTCCCTTTAGGTATTTATACTCATTGATGCCCTCACATTTTCTGACACAACAAACCATTTTGCTTTTCCAGCCCTTATTGCCTATCTGTGCAGTGGACCACAAGATAGAGAAGCCCTAGTTAGCAGCTACAATTTCTTAATGGAGGCACTAACAAACCTTTACTGCTTTTACCTGGGTCCATCCCCCCTCAGTCTGTGTGTGAAAACAGTGGAATAGTTTTAACTATCCTCTCCTACTGCCACCAGTTTCATCAAGCCCAAGGACACTCTGTGCCAGTGGCTGCCTTGAAATACTTGAAAATACTCCCGCACGCTCATGACACTTCCTGATAGTAGCAATCAGCTGCTGGGATGTCCATATCCCACTACTACTCTAATGAACTGTCACCTACTCTAATTCCTGTGATGCCTGTGCCGCTTTTTAAACACAAAAGCTTGTTCAGGTGTTGGTTTACACAAGTCCTGCCCTCAAGACCTAGTGCCAGCCCTTGTAAGAAGGCTTCTGGCATTGATGCAGAGGTGCGTGCAGTTAGCCTGAGAGAAGAAGAGGAGATAGGGAGATAGAAGGGAGAGAAGAGTATTTCCAGCAGATAAATTTGGTGGCAAAAAGCCATGCCATGGAATTTTTCCTGTACCACTAAATCTATTTCCTGCATTCATTAAGCCTGTGATGCGTTTGCACACAGCTTCCCTCTCTTCCAAGCTATCCAAAGCATGTTTTGTTAATGATATATTGTGGCAGCAACATTAATCTGTTGTTAAAGGTGTAGAGTCAAAAGTTCAAAATTAAAATTGCACTGAATCTTGCATAAATCACTTCTCAACCTAATAGGGTTTTAATTAAAGCAGAGTAAATATGGATCAGATGCAAAACTCTCCTGATTTTTAAATTTCCAATAGATCATTTCCAATTACCTCACTTCTCATGTTATACGTTAAGAAAATTGACTTTAAAGGCACATAATCCCACTGATGCAAAGAATATGCCACTTTCCCACTGCAGGCATTTGCCTTTCAGACAGGCTAACTTAAACACTGCTGTGTATAGAACTCTGTTTGTGTCTGTGAGAAAATGTCTGTGCTATATTTGTCTTGTCAATACTCCAATTTCTTAGTTTGAAGAAAGCAAAAAAAGATCAACACATTTTATACATTATGAACACTCCAAAAATGATTTTTCCATATTAAATACAAGTGTTAGACAAGCCTAAGATTTTAAACACTGCTCGTCACAACTTATACAATACTCTCGTGCTAAATCAATGCAAAGCTGTCCTCCTTGCTCATGTCTGGTAGTAAGGCTCCCATTCAGCTCCATGCTAATGAAATTGACTGTCCCACGAGATAGAACTCCATTTTGTCCTAACTGGTTCTTAGATTTACTAGGGAGGCTTCTATCAGGGAAAACTTTGCAGTATGTTTCTATATTTAGCTTCCTGTGCCATAAAATAGACATACTTTTTAAACGAACTTTCTGTTATATGATGGGCTTACTTTATTGCTGATGCAGGTGAATACTGCTATAGTCAGTACCATGTCACTGAAGACTCTGATACTGAGGAGATACTTCACCAGGTCTCGTATGGAGCCAGTCAGAATGCCTATATTCCCACTTGCCTTTTCAACTGTACCTTCAGGAATTTTAACACAGGCCAGGGTGCCAAAGTCAAGCCTCCCATTGCAACTAATAGTCAAATCAATGATTGTGCTGATAAGATTTTTTACAGGCATTTCTCCAGCTTACAGTGCCTGAAGCCAAATACACACACTTGAAACAAGATACTCAATTCCTGCTTCTAATGCATATAAAAAGAAACAAGTGAAGCCCCAGGTTTGCACTTATTCTTTCTTCTCCTTACAATTTAAATTGTATGGTTAAGCTTTCTGTTTCCCTCGGTACCATTCAGAAGCAGGCTTTGAAATCCTGTGACAATTGATGCTGGCAAGTAAACAACCTCATAAATCCCCATATTCCAGACAGATTTACTGGCCCTTTCATGGAATGTACCCTGAACCCCTCCACCCCTCCAGTTCATGGTACATTTCCAACATAAAAGCAGGATGCTTTTGTTATTAAAAATATTTTAGTTACAGGAGGTCTTTACAATAGCTTTGGCACATCCTGCACATTCTCCAATAATCACATAAGGAAAACTTTTTTTGGCTCAGGGTCATTTTCATGTCCTTTATCATCAATGTACTTTGTCTGCTCTTCCTTTTTTTAAGGCTCCCCTGTTTAGTGCATTCAGCTGAGCTTGCAAGTTTTCCAGCTAACGAAGAGAAGCTTTCTTTATTAAATTTTCCAAATGGGCTGGAACTTCTGCAAGAAGAGTCCCTTCTGAACTATTGCCTTTGCTTCCAGTTCAAATTGAACAACAAAACACAGATCAGTATTCAGAATGAAGTAGAAAACAATTTCAAAAACTTAACCAAATTCTCTGGGGCTTTAAGTTAATATGTAATTAGAGTTTGGCTGAAGTCTAGGCTTCCTTCTTTTTTCAGCCAAACTGTTTCTTTCTCTCGGGCTTTTCCTTGGCTAGCTCTGCAACCTCACCTTTAATGTGCTGTTCAGCATTCGAATTTTGTGGAGTTTCTCATTAATGGAGGGGTTTTTGCTGCGTTTGATAAATGACTTCCTAAGCTCCTTCTTTGTTGACAGCCGACGATCACCAATGGGAGACAGGCTTGCTTGTTCTAATGACTTGTAAAGTCGCTCCATCTCATCATCATCACATTTTTCCTGTTCTGCAAAGAAAAGAATAAATTGGGTATGAGAATGTGAATGTGGAAGCAGATAGCAGAAATGTTAAGTTCAGCTATCAGAAAGGCTCTTAGCCGAGTTAAAAAGTAATGGTATTAGCGTCAAAATCAAGGGCAATTTTTAGGGTAATTTATAGGGTAATAACACATATGAGAAAGACATACTACCAAACTCAAATGTTTTTAAGAATCAGGTCGTGATCCAAACAGATACGAACATGTATTTCCACTGATTGAGTGCTGCTTTAATGCTCTGAATATATCACAGCCTTTGAAAGCATCAGTAATGCTACATTTGAATGAAAACAACTTTGATAACATCTACACCCATACACCCTTCCTTACATGCTGCATAGAGTGAATTACATTTCTACCTGGCAACTCACAGGTCAAATTCTATTTGGCATACTGATTCATTGCCAGGTTTTGGTAATTATTGAAACCAGAGTTTAAAAAAATTGACCAATAAAATGAAACATAGGAACATTTCAGGGGCCCCAAGAGAAGATCCCCAGAAAACAGATTAAAGCAGGAGCCTTTCGGGCACCTGATGCCTAACCCCTAAGTTTCATAGATTGCAGCACAGAATTTACTTGTGATGCCTCTCAACAAAGCCTTGATTATCTCCACCTTAATTATTCTGATGGCTCCCAAGCTGCAGCACCATTTTCCAAGACAGAAAGGAAAAGCTAGTAAACAGCTGAGAATGAAATAGCATAAAATAAGACAAAAATTGAAGCAAAGGCATTTTTCAGAATAAAACAACTTAAAAATGCGCAGTCAGAAACTAAAAATGTACCAGGCATATATAGGGGCGTTTTGGCAGAAGGCCATTTTCAGCAACAGACTGCACAACTCGCTGCTTGTCCCTCAGTCCACACTGCAAGCTTTTCTACTTCAGTGGCTGCTAAAGGAAAATCTAAAGTTATTGGTGTTTTCAAGGTGCTAATAAGTCCCTCAAGATCCACTGGGATAACATTCATTTTTATTTCACTGGGGACAGTGGTGGCGGTTTCTCTTGACTGCAGTCCTCCATGTGCCGGTCAAACTGGCTGGACACTTTTTTCTTCGAATGAAAAGTTAAACATTGACTTTTCTAAATCATCTTCAGTCAGCAAACATCTTCTGAACAAAAGGAATAAGTCCTTTTGCTCACTCATGCCGCAGCAAAACGACTTCTCCAACATGTCAGCACATTTAGGAGGCTGCTCCTTATCTTTTCCATGTTTTAAAAACTACAGCATCCTCCTACACCCTTGTTCTTTCTAAATATTTAGGTTACAACAAAGGTTTGTGATATGCTACAAATATTTGCCTTCACTGTGTTGCTGGCCTTTTTTTCCACTACTTTGTGATTATAAAAACCCTGTTGTAACTTGACAAGAACTAAATATAGCTTCCAACATTGGTACAGTGTTGGGGGAGGAAAAGCACAACTGTTGTATATTTACCAAGCTGCAGGAAATAGGGAAAAAAATGCAAGTGTAAGGCAAAATACACGGCAGTAGTATGCCATGAGGCTCGTTATTATAACTAGTTTCCTGCCTACTTTCTTGGGATGAAGCAGCTGTTTGTTTCATTAGCCAGCTCCTGCACAGAACTGGCTCAGCTCTACTGTAGTCATCACCCATCAGGACTGTACACAGTATCACTTTGAGAGATAAATTGACCTTTATCAGATATCCAGGAAAGAGTATATAAGAAGCAAAAAAAATTGCATTGATCCTGTCCAGCAACTTTAAAAAATAGTCGAGCCATGGGCAACATGAGGTCCCTGCTCCAGATATTTTTTGATGCTAACTCACGATGCTCCTCAGTGTCCTAAAAGGGTTAAAAAGCAGCTAGCATGAGAAAACACCTTCACTGAACACTCTTCTTCCATGCTTCTGTGCACTTGTGGGTGAAGGTAAGGACACTAATGCTCAGCACAGAAAACGATGGAAGCAAAGTCAGAAAAGCCCAGCAAAAGGCTCCCAGAAGATGCACTTGACCAGCAGCGTGCACTCAGCTCCTGCATTCTTTCAAGACTGCAGCCATAAACTCCTCTCTCATTTCTTATTCTTCCACCACTCCCATGCCCAAAAGATTGATCAGGGTCAGGTAATTCCAGGGGGAAGGGAATGTGCCAGATTCTTCAGGTCGAGTGGATAAAGGGTGTGACAGCAAAGCAGCTAAACGGGATTTCAGGGAACAGTTGGAAAACAAGGGTGACTGAAAACTAGAGGCTGTGTAGAGCCAGGTATGAGTTATACAGTACTTTTGCCTCCATCTTTGTTTACATTGATGATCAGTGGACTTCTCCCACAACAGTTAAAAAATAACAAAACAGTATCTTAATATTGTGCTTTTGTATAGAAGCAGATACTGTTGCTATTGACAAAGAGTATGCCTGCCAATAAACCTCTATAAATTGAGGCCAGACTGTCTGATACCTATCTGGACTTTCACCTTCAATGTCCTGAGTTCCCCTGAGCCAAGCTCAGAAAGCAAAAGCCCATATTTTGCGTGCAGGTTTGAAGCTGCCACTGAACACACTAGATTGATGCTGTAAATCTGAAAGGGGTAGAGGTAATGGAGGAAGAGGAGAGGTATTATGTCTAGCAATAAATTAACAAGCCCAATAAAATGATTTGTGATAAGAAAATATATTTCTCCTCACTCACACAATGGTGCATTACAGTATTTCACAAACCTCTTAATGCCACAAAAGTAAACAAAGAAAGCACTACGTTTCCCCCACAAAACACCTGAGAGAAAATAAAGGTTGAATAATAGAGATAAAGCAAAGTGACTCAAGGCTTAACCACAGACTGGACTTTTTCTCCAGATTCAAACATTCACAGTGCATTTTCCCAGAACTTGGTATTCCTTAATTCCCTTGCACCTGGAGTCAGAGCACTGACCTGCAGATGAGCAAGTCTCTAACAGAAGCACAGGCATTCACCAGTTCTGTATTCTTAAGCTTCAGCGATTTGGATTCCTCCTATGAAACCTCAGCTGTCTAGACTATACTACTGAATTGTTACGAAATATTTGCTTTCCATCACAAAGTAAAAATTTATGCAAAACCACATAGTACACAAGCGGAGGCCCCGGTGTAAAAATGAACAGATTGTCTGTGTCAGCCTCCTAAAGATAAATATACCACCCCTACTCCGAGCTTTGTTAACCTCTGAAGGTTTATAATGACGGATATATTCCGCTGGCAAAAATTCTTAATAACATGGACAGGTTGGGCCCCACTAGCACTGCTCTGGGGTGAGTCTTTCCAGCTGGGTCACACAGCTAACATCAGGCACATTCCAAATCACTTCAAAATATAATATTGTCAGTTATCTCTTCCACCAGTACTCTTGAAGCTAAGCACTTTCTGTCTCAGGCATGCAAACTGAAGTGCTACTACAGCACTTCTTTATCTCATCCTATTTTAAAGATAAAATACACTCATTTTTCTCTCAGGACCTACTGAGGGATTAGTAGTAAGGAACAAACAGCAACAGTTCAAGGATATTACATATTGTGTGCATTTATGAGCGCGTACATACACACAGCAGAACATGTGCATTGTGCACTTTTCCCTTCCCTTGGCAGTATAAACGATAAGCCCTTCTGTTGAGTCATGCCACTGGAAGAATCAGTCTTCCTGGGATCCTGCACCATGCCCTTCACTCACAAGCCTCACAGCTGCTAAAGCTTCATAGCACTCCTGGAAAAATTCTGTAGTATTACATAGCTCTTTTAACTTTGTCAGACTCTGCAGTGGGGAAAGTGGAAGAGAGCCAGTGGTGACCTGAGAAAAAGGGAACTTCTGCCCTGAGATATTTTAACATTCAAGAGAAAGAGACCTTCTAAATCGGGGTGAGGAAAATAAAGTAATATTTCAGGCAAGTCAGAGCTTCTGATAAATTCTGTTTCACGAGAAGTAAAACACAATTTTGTGGCTTGATGCCACTTATCTGGAATTTCCCTCGAAACAGGAGATATCACAGACCAGAGCAAGCTGCCAGAGGTTCAACGCGCCAGCTCTTCACCTCTTCAATTTTCAGCTTCCACCTTCCTGTTGGCCAACTTGCCACAGGTGGGAGACATTAAGGTATTAAGACCCCCCACCTTGGAGCAGCAATACAGGAGCTTGCCTCAAATCTCAACTTTAATGCTCCTTACGCCTGCAAAAGTGAAATTATCCAGAACTTTTCAAAAAGCAGCTGTGAAAAATCAAGCTGATTGTTTCCCTGAGGTAAAGATATAGAAATCGGCAATGTTTGGCAGAAAGAGCATTTTGCATTGAAAACCACCTCCAACAGAACATATCTCACTAAATCTAAGCTGAACTATAAATACTTGTTCTCCTATTCTCTGAGATCTCACAGGTCTCCAGCTGTGTATTAATCTCAGGAAAAAAAAAATCTGCATCTTCCTCCTGCCTTTCCTACTCTTACGAGCTTCTTGTAGCTGTGCCAGCACCTCTGATTCTGCCAAAACTATTGATACCAATGGGACAACATATACAGCCAGGCTGGGGAGAACACAGGAAAAAAATCATAAACCGCTTTTGTCCTTACCTACCTACCCACCCCACCCCCCATCCATTCTCCATAGAGGTAGTAGACTTTTCAATGGGAATATGATGACACCTTGGGAAAATTCAATTTTCCACATAACTACAGAACAGAAAATACAGGAAATATTTGAATTAGGAGGGCATAGCTTAGGCAAACTCTTCACTGGCAAATGCAGAACTAAAGGTAGGAGAGAGTGGGAGAAAATAACAGGAAAACTACATTATCACCAGCAATTAGATGCTCTTGACTCTAACGTTATAGTGGACTCAGCAGTAAGAGATGGCATTTTAACAAACTGTGACTGAACTGGAAACAATACAAATAAGTATCTCTTTTTCAGAGAGTGCGGAAAATCTTAACACCCTAGTTTTCTGTGGTTTCTAAAGCCTTTTTGATGAGAAACAAAACAATAATTCAAACAGTTGTTTCTTTACACAGTTGTTCTCACCATAGGCATACTTCTTGGCTAGTCTCAGCCACGATCTAGCTATTTTCTGTAACTTTTGCAGAAGGAACAAAGGGGCCAGAGCACACCAGAGGATCTGTTCTGACTATTACTGGCACAGGCAGACTCCAGAGGGGAAGAGGATGTCAGTTCTGAGAAAAGAAGGAATCGAATGCGTCCAGCTCCTACTTAACCAGCTCCTTCCCACAAAACCAACCCTGATAAAATTCAAGTGGTATTTGAAAATCTTTCCAGGTTTTTCAAAATATCAGCATACACCAGATCTTCTACTGGCTACTGTGAGCTAAGGTAAAGTAAATAAACCCAAAGTGGTACCATAAGAATTCCTTGCCAAGACACATTAACTTCACATGATCATAAAACCCTCAGAAAAATATAAGGAAGAAGGATGTTATTGCTATAGTAGAAGATCCCGAAATAAATACAAAAACACATTCCTGTTCTTTCATAGTAACCTCTCCGTTTCTGTGGCTTCCTTTTATTATCATAGTTTTTGATGATGATGGTGGTGTGTCATAGTCAGATACTTTTTGTTCCAGTGGTTGCCAGAAGAAATACAAAGGATGGAGTTTGGCTGCAGAGCGTGCCTAGCCATCCCGGACAGGGCAAGGCCAGCTTCTGGATACAGAGCACGTAGTCAGATTGTTGTTTGTATTATCAACCCTTTCTTGTTTACCTTTCAGTTTCTTTGTGTCACAGGCAGCTTTGAATCCTTTGTCACTGTGCATGTAGTAAACTGCAACATAGAAGTATTGAATATTCCCCCAAAGTAAATGGAAACATAATGCTGATCTCCTTTCAAAGAGAAAACTGTTAAACTCTTCCTTTTTGTACCTTTGTATTACTTTCTGGTATGTAACCTCTTCCCAGTAATCAGTGCTGAGAATTAAGGCTGAGAATGGTCATAACACCACTAAGAGTGACTGGAAAGGTCATTAAAAATACCATATGGTAGACCTCCTTGCACCAGACACTTACAGTTGCTTAGCAGGTTTAATTACATAAATTTTCACTGAAAGAATAATCCATGATCATTTAGTTGAATCTGTAGTTTCTCTTGCAGAGATTCGTCCATTTATCTCTGAAAAACTATTCTTTCATTGTTTAGCTCATCACTGAGGTTTCTTCACTATTTTGTATTTTCATGATAAGTTCCTCCCACAAAGTCACAGCTACTATTTCTTCCTTCTAGGTACCAACTTTTCTCACATTGGCCTCTATTTCTGACTTTTGCCAAGAAAAGTACTCTTCAGTTCTTCAAAACTTTCACCTCAGCTCGAGGCTGCTATCAGCTACAACCAAAAATTACTCAGAGTTTTACAAAGCAGAATGTGCCATTAAGCAGAGTGTGAGACAGGTTTTTTTCTATCCTCACAAGGAGAAGAAGAGAGCATGGACACACATGAAGGCTCTGGGGGGAGTGGGTTCAAAGTCTACACAGTTGGTCTGATAACAGCAGGGCTGTTTTTTACGCACATGGGACATGGACTTCCAGGACAGATGCCAATGCAAGATGGACCTATCTCCTCCTGGACGCAGTATCATCACTCTGAAACACGACGAGCTGTCAGAAATGCACTATTCAGAAGCATTGTAAAGCAAATAATATGGATTGTATTGAGGTATGCATTCTCGTTTCGCATCAGATAACAAGGGTGTTCTCACTCATTATTGTAAATCATGAGGGTTTGCAGCTAGCTTTTACCCTACAATTTGAATTCATCTCACAGTGTTTGTGCACATCCTTATCAACTAGTTGAAGGGGGAAATTCTTGGGGGATAAGCCACAGAATCAGAATTGCATCCTTTTTGATAACTTCCATTTGGAACTGAATTGCTATTTTACGTTAATCCTTTTTTTCTACCTCATTCTCAAATTGAAGTAGCTTAACTAATCTCCTTGCAAATTATTTCATTTATTTTTTCAGTGGCCATTGTGGGGGAAGGCCCCACATGCCAACACTCTCCAACCCCTCCCCATAATATGCAGACTGATAAAGGAAAGAAAAATGTGTGTATGGTGTACATCTTACTTGCTCAACAACGGATTATGATGCAGACAGTAACTAGTGAGGTTATACAGTTGCCATAGTGACTGTTTCATTGAAATGATCTATTTCTGGAGTTCCATCAGAGATCATCGGTGTGGTTAGGATGGAAGTGTTCTGCAATCAGGGTTGGCCATCAGCTAAGCAGTGAGCAACAGAAGAATTCATTTCCCCAGGAATATTTTTGGGAAAATTAAACTGCCTTGCAAATAGCAGGAATATACCAAAATGTACCTCGATTTACATTTTAATCCCATTTTTATTGGCTAGTATTATTAGGCCTATTGAACTATGCTTTAAAGGATTATGAATGTGTCATGCTAATTCTATGACCATCCATAAAAGTACTTGTCACCCTTACAGTTATGATGGAAAGCATTAACCTATGCATTATTGCAGGATTGCTGACAATACCAGAGTAACATATTCTAAGCAAAAGTTTGGATTTCTGAAGAGCAACCACTGAATCTTGCTCAACAGGATCTATAAGACACCATGCCATATATGACCTATACTCCAACAATTCACATGAATGTACCTAATAATGTTTCCCAAAGGCATTACTTAGTCAAATTTAACCCAGAAGGTGAAATTACAGAAGGCAATACATTTACTACATCTTTGTGACATTCTCATTAGGGATGCCATTTCTGCCAGCCTCAGCCTCTTCACTACTTGCAGAGCCAGAGATTATGGGAATTAGATTCCACAGTAACTCTCTCAAAACATCCACTCTTTTCCGCCACATAGAATTAGTACATATGCTCGCTCTCGCTTTTAATTCTTACTAATCTTCATTGCTACAGAAGTCTCTAGCAGAGCAGCCTAGAAGATGGATAATGAAGCTAAGTGCAAAAGACGCTGAATTAATTTTCACTTTTGCTAAAATCTGGACTTCGCTCAATTTCTTTTTTTTCTTTTGTAAAATTAGAAAAACATGACAAACTAAAGGGGTGCTAACTGTTGATATTTGTAAAACAATTGGGAGACTGACAATGTAACTGATGTGCCTTATACTATCATTTTTCCATCAGTGCCAAGTTCACCTACAGAGAAATACCCTAAGTTCCCAATGAGTCCAGTGCTGTTTCTTTCCATCTTTGCATTACCTTCAGCCTAAGCTTTTGGATGCACCTCTGTTTTGCATTGTACTGAGGCAACACTGATCTTTCAGCAACAAAGTACTCACTTCAAATCTTTACAAGGATTTGGAATCATGGGTAGAGCTGATGCACAAGAACATTTTTGCTTCCTTATGTATTAGCTCTTTAGGCAGGATGCTGAGTATCTTCTCATTTCAGCATATTCAGAGGCCAGAAATGCCTCTTACACTTCTCAGCTGCTTTTGATGCAGGAAGAAGCAGCTTTGCTCAAAAGGCAAGACACATTGCCTCGCTATGGCAGGAGAGTTATTAACAGTAACAATGACCGCATTCTGGAACTATGCCACCTTTTTAATTTAGCAGTACATTTCAGTAGGAGGATACTTATGCAGATTCATATTTGCTTAAGCAAAATCCAGTCTTAATGGACTTTCTGATTCAGGATTGCAGTTTTCCCTTGATTACAATGAAGCTCAATGAAACAAATAGGGAATATGTACTGGAACTAAATGCAACTGCTTTTATTTTTAAAATTGGACTGACCTAACCCCACCCCATGTTAACTACTTCCTACATAAGCCATTTTGCTTAGGGTGCCAGTTCTGTCACACACTTTTTTAAAATTTGCATTCAATCCTAATAAAAGACAGCTGCACTGAAATAAAGAAATCTAATAAAAATATGTCTATATTAAGATTTTATACAGGGGCCATGATCTTAACATATAGGTAAAATTTGAGAAAAGCTGTAAAGATACTTACCAATTAGATACTAGGTTATATATTTAATGTGCAATAAGCCAAACGTTCGTTATAAATGGTGTGCCACTGGAAAACTCTTCAGTGGAGAACATAAAGGAGGGAAGTGGAAAGGAAGTTGAGGAAAACCCCTGAAGTCCCACATTGTATGGCTCTGCAGACAAAAATCTCCTCTCATGAGCTCACCTTTGGCTAGTGATCTCTGTCCTGTTGCATCTGGCACAGCTAGACAATGTGTATCCGGACCTAAAAAAGAGTTTTGGGATCCACCACTGGGTCTGGAAAGCTGGCCCTCCTGGCTTTCTGCCGCATCTCCACAGTCTACTTCTGGTGGCTCATCAGAGTGAATCTGTACGCAGAAAGTTAATGGCTGATCACCCTCTTCTGTGGCAGAGCTGTTAACTAGGTCAAGCCAGGACTGCCTCTCGGAATAAACCACTTTGGATGTCAAGGAAGAAGATGACTCTTGGGAGTTGAAAGTGCTTTCAGGAGAGGAGAGAGAACAAGATGCTTCACTTGACAGAGTCGAGGTGAAAGAAGACTTCTGCTGATCCTGCTTTCCAGAAAACAAATTAGGGGCGGGGGGGGGAGAAAAAATATTTCCAATTTATTCCTGTTCCTAGGTTCTACATGTTATAGATATGCAGCTGAAACACTAACTGACCAAAAATTGATGTAATCTGATTACTTATCCATCCAAACAAGCTTGAGGTATGGCAGCCAATCTCCTACAGAGCAGTAACTTCAGAAACTAAGCCACAAGGAAGCCAGAGGTAAACCATAAAAACCTGACAATGCCTAGAAACGAAAGACCAAGGGAAAATATTGTGTTGAATGTAGCCTTCCATGCTAGGTCTCACACTCACGTTCACTCTTTATTTTGTCTTCACTTCATTAGTCTAAGAGTGCAGAAGACAAACTCTGAATTAGCCATTGAACATGAAGTTGTCTTGAAGCATTCAATAAATACACCAATGCCATAACCACAGATAGAGAGAAATGGGCCCAAGCACTGAAGTACCTTGACCTTCTCAGCACACAAAAGCATTTTACCTGGTCCGTTCAAGGAATTAGTCATTCACCAAGACAAGAAGGCTGATAGGTAATACGATGGCAAGTTAATGGAATGAAAAAGCAGTCATAGGGCAGAGGGCAAGAAAAGGGGAATGGTATAAGATTTGTGTTGCTCATTCACCTGCTAAGATTCATCCTTCAGCCTATGAATCTAGAAAGGGACCCAAACTTCACTAGAAACACATCAGAAATCATTAAGACATCCTAGAGGGCCTCCATACTGTACTTGTCACCCTGCCTCGACAAGAGCGCATACAACCAGAGAGGTCTCAGGAACTTCTAACAGTCATCATTAGGAGCTAGGAGTCGAATGAGAGAGGGTATGATAGATGCACAATTCCTTGGAAAGAAAGGATGAGAGAAAGAACAGTTTTGAAAAGTATTTAGCTTCCCAGACAAGCAAATAGGTGCCCAGCTCTTTGTCTACAGTAGGTGTTTACATTGATTGAGCTGTACTATTATCTGGTCACCAAAAGCAACTCACACAAGAAGAATTAGCACTAGTCTGCTTCTTAGCCACCAAACACCACTGAAAAGATGAGCCAAGAGAGTCAAATACACAAGTAATACATACACAAATATACATACAAATACCTAGAGGAGGATTAATTGACAGTAATAAAGTAATGGAAGACAAGGGGAGACAAAGCCTTATAGTGAAGTTCTTAGAAACTATTAGAAACCGTGACGAGATCATCACGATACAAAAGCCAGATTTCTCGTATCTGCTACTGCAGAAATTTACTCCTCCTACAAATCATCTGCTACTGGCCAATGCCAGAATCAGAATACCAGACTTGATGGACCACAATTCTGGCAAGTTTTTGTTCTCAATACATATGTAGAATAGATCTGTGTAAGGATTAAAACAGATGATAAATAGACTGGAAGTATTGAAAATTGCTGAGAAAGTGTTGCTAGGGAAACCCGGACAAGCTGCAAACACAATAAAGAGACTAGCCTGGAATACTTATTTATAACCTGGTAAACTAGAAATAAGATGTATTTATAAAAGCAAACCAAGAGTGACAATATTTTGGATTACGATACATGAATCTCTGCAATTCAGTGTTGCTGTAATGTATACTACTTCCTTTTTACATTAAAAAAAGCGAAGTAATTTGCCTTCCTGTGCTTCTAATCTAGCTGTACCATGTAGCTACAAATAAATTCAGAAGATGAGAAAGACCAATATCACATTGTGGGTCACCATTTGTTTGTAGCACTTTCTTCACTTTTGTAAATTTTCAAAGCCATTCCTCCAAGACTGTCCCAAACACTGTGGGACAAGGCTTCATTTATATTCCTATTACGCAAAGTACAACATTGTGTTTCAGGAGGATTTTTGTTTTTAAAAAGGAAACCTTCACAAATGCATCCTAAAGCAAAGGATAAGATGTTGTCATAAACTACATGTACGAGTGATAAAAACACCCTTGGGAATACAGGTGACCTGAAGCATTTTATCTAAGAGTTCCTATCGCAAAGACAAATTGAAGCATTTGTACAGCCAAGCAGAACAACTGGACAGTAAAAGCTCTCGCTCACATGGTGTGGATGGTCTAATTTCAGTTGTTCTAAGACAGGAAAGAAAGATGTTAGATCTCACCTCTATTTCTCTGGCATGCGTCCATGCAAAAGAAAGTGAAATAAAAACTGTGCCTCACTGAGTGGAATATATCTTTATTTTCATTTTAATTGTGTGTTAAATAAAAAATTGTGGGTGAGAATACAGATGACTGCCAGAATATGTTTCTTTTTCTCTACGTATGTGTTATGGTGGTTTTTTTCTTTGGCATGACAAATGTTTACCTAACTTCCTCGAGTCATTCCTTTGGAAGTTTTGCAATCATCCATATAATTATAAGTCTCCATTTGGGGACATTTTAAAAAGCAGATGCTCGAGCCAGCAGATCATAAGGATTCCACTGGAGATCAATGAGTCTCTAGGCATTTTTTAGAGAAAAATTATCACCACGAAACACCTCAACTGCTCTTTTGGGACTGCTGCAATGTATTGTCTCAACATAGCTGCTGGTTTTTGAACTATAAATCCATTCACATGTGGAGAAATTAATACAGATGGTCAGTTTAACTTTTGTCCTACAGATGTTAAAATTTACTTGTTCTTCACTTGCTTTTTTTCTTCCACAGTACCCAAAGCATGCATAAACATAGAAAGCTCATGATCACTACTTTTTTATTTTGTCAAGTTTCAAAATGGCTTGGGTCAGCAGAGAACAGAACAGCAAGTGAAAACTTTGTGCTAGAAGTACAGCAAAATGTTTGCTGCTCTGACACGTAACAAGAGCCTGCACCTGGCTGGCTACTAGTTTCCAGACTAATAGTTTTCAGACTGGAGTTGATCTCGAGAAATTTGGAGACCTTTCTGCTTAAGACAACATTGGTTTGATTTTCCAAAATGTCCATAGCTCCTAATTCCTATTTTGCAAAATCTCTTTGGCACTCGGGAGGAAGAAGTACAACTTTTAAAGAAGATAAAAATAATAAAAAGAAATGAACCCTAGTCAATGCCTGCAGCATTCTTAATGCTGGGCTGGGTTTCCAGGGTGAGTGTCTCTTCCAGTAGCAATCTGAAAAGATTCAAGCAGGCCTTCCAAAAGTGGTGTACCCACAGAGTATCAACCCAAATTCATCACACATTTGGGACCTCATGGCTTGGTTCAAAAACTCCACATCAAATAAACAGGCACCAAGCAATGTTTAACCAGCCTTCCCTGAGACAACCAAGAGCTCCACTCCTAGAATTGACTTTCCAGTAGAAGCTGGCTTTCCCAATCCTTCCAGTGGTTTTCTTGCTCCAGTACTTGTCCAGAAGGGAAAAGGGCATTAAGTCAGGTGTTTAAAAGGAGGCTCTGACTTGCAGTCAATCACAGCTGCATTGGTACCTAACTGTTCCTATCTACCACATAAGCAAGCTGCGCATAGGGCAGACCCGTGGTAGCTGGAGCTTATTCCAGTGTCCAATTCTGGAGTGAAAAGACGACAAATTTGCTCAGGAGACACTAATCTTTGTCCATGGGGGAAGGGATTTTAAGCTGGGGATAAGGAGAAGGGAAATCAGCTGAGAGGTAAAGGCTGGAGGAAAGATAACCTTTAAGGGAAAGGCTGAGGAAGCAGGACACCTCGGCACCTGCACCATTGCCTGCCTCCCACGTGTCCCCTGCTAAAACGTGGAAGTCAGCACTCAAGAAGAGCGTATGGGAAGGAGACAACCAGAGATCGCCTCTGCAGCAACAGATTGACAAGCAGCAGGAAGCCAGAAAAACAGAAAGCTAAAAAACAGCACCTGTTTAAAACTCATCATCTGGAAAAATGCAGGCATTCACTCAGAGGTGAGCAGATGGAAAAGACATCTACAGCCTCTTAAAGGCAAGCCACTGAGATGTAAAATTCAAGATGCTTCATTATCAGCCCTCGGCCCAGAATAACTCTTGGAGATTTATTGTCAAGGTTCCTATTTTCTCTGATATTTATAGCCACTCTGCCACATTTAACTTACAGTTAATACAGGCAATAAGGAATCACGTTTTACACAGCGGTGAACACCCCCCCCCCCGAGTGCCAGGTGGATTGTTTTATGGTGATTAGCATTACACAACTGTTTCAGGAGAGTAAATGAAGACTGACTTACCTGACTGAAACAGAAAGGGGCAAGTGGGTGACAGCGTGGCATACGCTCCCAGCTTTATGTGAGCTAATTAGAGATTGCCACACAGGCAACCCTGTGCATGACATCTCCTTTTATTATTGCCTGTGACCACACAAGCTTCTCCAGCTCATCTGTATATTTCAAATTTGTCCCTGCTTCACTGCCTCTGCGCCCACCCTAGCTACTGGATGTCATTTCGACGTGCCATACAGGAACCTGTACCACACCAAGGAGGCAGCAGACACTTCCCTTCCATGAGGTGCGATGAGATGATTAAGTACCAAGTATATTACTGCATACCCCTCGATGTTAACTTTCAGATGGGAAAGGCTTGAACTCAGGATTCCTTATTTCAGCTGCATTACCATCTCAAACCAGATTACTCATTTCTAACCACAGAATTAAATAAACTTCATATCTTAAAGCACATGTAAGGGGAGATGAGATCACTGGGAAAAACAATACAGAAACAAGATTAATAGGGAGATAAGTGGCTAATAATTAGGCGAGTCAATTTGATTAGACACATGAGGATGCATAGTGCTTATTCTAATTTATGAAATGAAGCGAGGCAGCAAGGAATATTCTGGGCAAATATGCTACAGCAAGAGAGAAAAATAGCATAGATTTTGGGAGGATGCCTATTTTCTTTTTTTATAGTCTATTTTTCAGAGGTAGAGGAAAAGAACCAATTTTATCACTATAAGAAGAAGCCTCTTTCCCTTCACTTCACTGCCTCAAAAGCCGCTTCAAATTCAGCATTCTTAAGAACAGCTCACTCAAATACATAAATACAAATCTGTTGGATGATGCTACGCTACTGGGGTCACAAAAAGAAAGAAGATTTGGGACGGATTAAAAAAAAAAAAAAGTATGAAAAACTAGGTTATGGCAGTGTGTTAAAAACCTTGTAAAGAAAAGACACAGCGTGTATATGAGGTAGAGTGACACCTTCCTTTCTCCAGCAAGATAAATATGCCTCCATCTGAAGGAGCTGTTCTTTTACAGTGCGGGGCTCCCAGCAGGGCAGGCTGCAATAACTGGGTGCTCTGCCACCAGGCAGGGGCAGTCAGTGCATCCTCATTTTACCGGCCATGTTTACACAGGGTAAACATTTCTAGCCACTGTTACAGGTTATTCCTCAAAGGTCCACCACCTCAAGAAAATTTTGTTCCAATTGGCTAGCAACAAGAAACAAGCTAATTACTGCAACACTTACCGAAGGAGGAGGTGGTGGCTGGACTGTGTAGGGGGGAGGTGGTGTGTCTGTTATTTCTGGATCATCATGTTCACTTTCGCTGTAGCATTCTGAGGCAGACATGGAAAATGAGCAAAAACAAAGTGTTAGAGCAACACTCATTTATTCCTCGCAACACTGTGGTAACGAAAGATCACCAAGCAGGTTGTTCTGTGCTGAGGACCATGCTGTAACAAGTCAGTGTCTCCTACAGTGAAAATTAACCCATTTGTGGTAATGCTACACTATTTCATGGCAATATTTTTCTTTTATATAAGTAAAAAAATTTGCTAATTTGCTATGGCAGGAAACACCAGGTGGCGCTGCTCCAGATAACGTCACAAATACGTTTGGGGTGGGATTTTTTTTACCTCCCTTTGCAGCCTTAAAAGAAAGGCTGCATCATTTGTCACGTAAGTTAAGGGAGACCTGTTGCAAGTAGTAGATGCTGTCCCTTAATCTCTGTAATCAGTAAGTTTTCTTGGAGCTAGCAACAGGCATTGGTGTTTTGGCTGCAATTTTGGAGAAAACAGATTTCTTGCATGGTGCTTTGGAAACCACAAAGCAGCCTCATGGGAGCCTTCCATCACCACATGGTAACTCACATAGGCACGCCACGCGGCATGGCAGTACATGCGCAAAGCTAGTACTAAAAGTAAGCACAGTACTCTAGGACTATACACCCCACTCATCTTTTTTTTTTTTTAAATAAAAAGCAAACTCATAGAGCCTCGGTATCTCTTGACATGTGGCAGAGAGGCAGTCCTGATCTTATTTCTTTCAACTACATTTGTAGCTGGTGAAACCATTTTCTCAGAAGCTTTTTAAAAGTGGATTAAATGAAGTGATAATCATTGATAAAATAAAACACAGAAAAGAGGAGGTAATAAGTTGCTGGTTCCTATTCCCAGGGCCTAGCCATAACCACTGGGCAAGGTCACCTCCCACTGCTAAATCTCCCAGCCCGCATCAGCCTTTCACATCCAACCTTTATAAGAGCAAGTGCTTGCGTCCTGCCCTGCACCCATCACGTGTGAAGGGTGACAGCGCTCACCCCCACCCAACTGAGCTGGGCACAAGAAAGGTTGCAAAGACATAGTCGGAGCTTAATGAGGACAACGTGAGCGAGTGCCAAGTGTCACAAGAGCAGCCGCTGCCCCCGAGGTCTCCACGGGAGCCAGCACTCTGCTCTGCTTGTGCTGCCCAAGAGCAGCTGGGTCTCTCCAGGGGAAGCAACCCTCCAGCTCTCTCCCCAAGTGGGCGAGGGCTGTTTATATTCAGGGAGCATTTTGTAAGAGCTGGACTTCAAGAGTTCACACCTCTAGAAAGCAGTGTGTCTCTGGGAAATCACCTGTGATTGTCTCATCTTTTAACTAAATTAAAACCCGCACGCTGTCTTTTTGTGCATGTCATTTGGGGGTTTATAATAAACACAGTGTGACAGCAACAAAGTTTTAAGAGAAAAATTTTATACACAATAAAGAGGTTTCTAAGATGTTAACAGAGTGAAACTTAAAGACATTACTTTTCTCCCCATACTGTTTGCAGAATTATAGGGTTTTTAATAGCATAGTTGCTATTCTGTTACTGGAAATATGTGCTGGCACATCTTAGTATAAAGGACTGAGACTGGCTGCAGTAAGTCCTACCTCAAATTCTAAGGCTCTGTTAATGCATTCTTGAATAAATCTTAGTAAAGAGCTTATTGTTTCTACAGGTCCCCTTTTAGGCACACAGAAGAATTGAAAAAGAATCGACAGCTGTTTCTGATACTCTAAATAGGCAAACAGGGTTGCTGGGGTGAGGTTAAAATGCATAGAAAGTACATCAATACACAAGAACTGCCATAACAAGAACCAAGACCCTCCTGAAGAGTTATGGTGTGTGATACAGAGTGGAGAACGAGGTCAGCAGGAACAGAAGTGACTGTGGGTAATGAAAGCATTTTTCTGAAACATAGCAATGCCTCTGCAAGGCCACATCCACTCAGGCATGTCAGTGGGGTGCTGAACCCACACTCACAGCAGCTGCTGGGACACCTGTGACAAAACACACATGGAAAGACGAGGTGGTGTTTGACACCAGAATCAGAGTGCTTTTTCTGAAGGGAAAATGGGCCACCAGTTTTAAAAGCTGACGAAATCTTGGCAATGTTATGTTTATTGCAGGGAAATTAGATAACCTGCTGCAGAGGTTATTGAGTGGATTATTTTGTATCTTTCTGTCAATTTTTTTTTAATTAAGATTAGTGGACTGACTCATTTCAAATTGTTTTATAATTCTTGACTCAGCCAACACAACCAATATTACATTTTTTGAGGCTTTAAAAAAAAAAATGTTTTCCTATATAGAATTTTGACCATCCTTATCTTCCATCAAACTCCTCCTTTGTGAAAACATGGACAACGTTTGGACACTTCCTCCCCAAGTACAACTACCATGCAGTTCTTGCTACACAGCCTAATACTCAATATAGCATTCTATCCTGATTATCTCAGACTGGTTTGATGCAAAACTGGGTTCCAAAAGGACACAGGCATTTTGGAAGAATTTGGAGATATGGGAATTAACAAGTTTCCTGACAAGAAATAAAGAGGAACCATGAACCAAAACCAAAGAAATCTATGGGACCTGCTGAATCTCCAGAATTCAGTGGTATCTATGTTTACCAGCCCCAAAGCTATTTTTAATGGCAGAGTATAAATGGAGCCAGAGTATAAACAGAACCAGATCCAACTAATCAATAATGGAATTACATGTCCAAAGCCTGGATATAAACCACAACCTTATTCTGGGAAACAGCAGAAGGAATGCAGAGAGGAGCATTTCAATTAGATTAGACAAAACAGGCTGCATCACCTAAGTGTTCATACTACTACAAATACCCGTTTCTTCTTCATAATGACAGCTCCTTCACAACCTGAGCAGTTCTAAAAAAGGTACTGGGTACCAATACTCTAAAAATGGAGGGTCAAAAGCCCAGAAGATACATACTCCTCAGAATCATAGAATCATTTAGGTTGGAAAAGACCTTCAAGATCATTGAGTCCAACCGTCATCCATGCCCACTAAACCATGTCCTTAAGTACCCCGTCCACTCGCTTTTTGAATACCTCCAGGGATGGTGACTCAACCACTTCCCTGGGCAGCACATTCCAATGTCTGACAACCCTCTCAGTAAAAAAATTTTTCCTAATATCCAACCTAAACCTCCCTTGCCTCAACTTGAGGCCATTTCCTCTTGTCCTATCTCCAGCCACCTGACAGAAGACACCAGCACCCACCTCACTACAACCCCCTTTCAGGCAGTTGTAGAGAGCCATAAGGTCTCCCCTCAGCCTCCTTTTCCCCAGGCTAAACAGCCCCAGCTCCCTCAGCTGCTCCTCACAAGACTTGTGCTCCAGACCCCTCACCAACTTGGTTGCCCTTCTCTGGACACGCTCCAGCACCTCAACGTCTGTCTTGTAGTGAGGGGCCCAAAACTGAACACAGGACTCGAGGTGCAGCCTCACCAGTGCCCAGTACAGGGGAACAATCACCTCCCTGCTCCTGCTGGCCACACTATTTCTGATACAGCCCAGGATGCCATTGGCCTTCTTGGCCACCTGGGAACACTGCTGGCTCATATTCAGCCGGCTGTCAACCAGCACACCAGGTCAGAGTCCATCTCCTGGTTTGCTAACATAATACTACCCACAGCACTTCTCATTCTAAAACAGCTCCCAGCACATGTGTCCTCACCAGCAACTTTTCCAAGCACTCCGACAGGTCAGTTGCTTTGTCCCCTGCCCAGATTTGTGATTCAAGTGCAGGTATCCTACCACCAAAACGATCTATTAGGTCAGTGTGCAAATTAAGACAATAAATAAATTGCTAGGGAACTTTTAAAACTCTTGGGCTTGGCTCTGAAGAAAATTGTAGGCTTCAGTACACCACTACCAAGCCCCCCAACATTGCTGCTGTTGAAATCCACAGGAACAAAAGAGACAGTAGGGAAGGGTCTATATTGCACAAGATATTCCCAAGCTAGCGAGCTCCCAGGCCATAGCACAACTCCTGTAATATACCTTACCAGCTCAAAACCCAGAGTAGCACAGCTGTTTCACTTGGTAGGCTTAGCAAGCCAGCAAACTGCCAGAAAGTAGTTACACACCTCTCGCAAGATCACTGAGTGTCTCTCAGTAGCACTGTTTCTCACCATTCTTTTTCTGTGATTACTCTGTGCTGTGTCAGTGTGGTTTCTCTGAGCTCAGTCAGTAGAAGGACCCAAGCTGACAGTTTAAAAGAAAAGAGCTGACAAAAATTTGGCCAAGCAAAACCTGTGAAGAACCTGATGTAGTTACATGCTGAAACCATCGTTAGGAGCATACCTTCCTCATTCTTCCCATTGGGTGCCTGAGGGTCTACAGCCATCCCCAGCTTACTTAGCCACCTGTGTTTGAAACAGAAGGAATATAGAGTTAGGAATACTTGCATGCTGTTCTGACAGAGTTTTGCCTCTTTCAGATGTATTCTACATTTTCATTAACCTGAAGACTAAATGTCCAAGTTTCTTTCTATTTCTTAGATCATCTTCTAGAAAGGCACCAGTTACCTGAATACTAATACTCCCTGTGGTGAGCAGGACTAGCTGCCTGGAACATCATCTTTCCCTGATCCTGAAAAAAGCATTACTGATGACCAAGGAGTTGCATTTGTGGAAGCTAAAGGAAAAGTATGTGTGCTATAACACAATGTCAGTAGCTTAGTCCTGCTGTTGAGGTGTCATCTTTCCCCTGAGGTGAAGCAAAAGGCATAGGAGCCATAGAAGATGATGTCAGCTGCCCTGACCAAAGCTATTGCAGCACAGTCTAAGAATCTAAGCCATTTAAAACCAGACTTTCTGACCACTATATACTGCTTTCTTCAATTCCCTATGTACTTCTGGTTTTAGTAAGTCTCACTTCCTGTGTTGCTTTAAGCTATTAACAGTTGGGGGGGGGGGGGGGGGGGATTATATTTCTTT